AGATGTAGCTAGTTCACACCTACGACTGTCGTTGGCTCAAGTAAAAAGTTTCGTATGCATTCTGGCTGCTCTGCCTATAAACATAACCCTAAACCCTAAACGGCCGTGAACCCTAAATAAACCCTATACTCTGAACGGCCCTGACCCTAAATAAACCCTATACCCTGAACGGCCCTAAACCCGAAAGCCGAACCGCAATCCGAGGCCCGAATCGCTGGAGAGCCTGATGCAACAGCTCAGCGGGGACGGAAAATGCACGCGCTGCCCTAAACTCGAAGGTCTAAAGCCTAATGTGGGGGCCTTACTAATAGGAATAGGGTTCCTTGGGGGTTCCTTTAAAGGGCTCCTTCAAAAGGGATCTAGAAGGGCTACTATAAGTGTTTAGGGTGTAGGGGCCTTGATAATTCGAATAGGGTTGTGCCAGAAAAGGCGGGATGAAGGTAACAGGAGGGCCTTCAATAGCTAGAGTAGCGTTTCGGGCTGCATGCCAGTGCTAGTACATGGAGAAGAGGGAGGCCTAAGGAAGAGCATTGCAAATTAGTCAGGCTTCTATGTTTAGTAAGCCTTTGGTAGAAGGATGCTCCTATGTTTAGTAGGCTTCAGGATCTTTGGGGTTCAGGGCCGGGTTTATTTTTATTGGGGATGGACCCACCTTCATCACATTTGGAGCGCTCTGACTTGGATTGAAGAGCGAGGGCGTATGAGGGTTCGGGGTGGCGGGGTTTGTAGTTCATGGTTTTGGGGCTTCATCGGGTTGTGTCAGGGATTAGGGTCTGAGGTTCTTAGAGGGGGATTTCTAGGGTTTGTGGGCGCATGCAGTTTACACTAGCTTCGCAAAGCAGATTCCGGGTAGCTGTCAGGATTTTTGCAGAATTGGACTTGGAGTTTGAGGCTTTCCACGCTTAATCATCTTGGTGTTTTTGTGGGTTTGGGGGGGGGTTTTAGGGTTTCAGAGTGGGGATGTCAGCTAAGTCGTGTTACTGATGTCGACGTCACTTTGTCGTGGGCGCTTGGTTCACACCGGAATATATCGTATATACCAGGTAGTTCGGTGCTAGACCGCATGACAACACTCCGCACGAAGACGGGCTGGCTCGAAACTTCTATGGATAAGGCAAGTCGCAATGTCACACGGTGAACACACAGACAGTTGCCCGAAGTCTTGTGCCATGAGCGATCCAGCTTTTTGCAGGGACCGTCTCTTCCTACATCCCGATGCGCCCCAATAGACAGCGTAAGTAAAAATAGAATTCGAGGCACGATGTCAAAAAGCAAACTTCTTAGATCAGGCACGGTTCGCTTTCACCTCTAGGAGCTCACCTTTCAGCACAGCCCTCAACCGTAGCTCAGCTCGAGCAAGTCTGCATTCCAAAGTCCCAAGCCGCAGCCAAATGAAGCCCCAAACCCTTAGGGTTTAGGGTTTAGGGTTTAGGGTTTAGCGAAATGTAGTTAGTGTAAAGCCACTTTCCCACGTTTCTCTTCATTCTGCAAGCCCTTGTAGAACCGATTTTCCTAAACCCAAACCCTAAACTCCTAAACTTCTAAACTCCTAAACTCCTAAACCCTAAACACCAAACCCTGAACTGTAAGCCCTAAGTCCTGCACCCCAAGCGCCTTCAGCCGCTCGAGCGCCATGGCTTGGGCCTGAGACGACCCTTGGAAAGGCCGGCTCGGCAGAGAGAGCCGAGAGTTTTTGGGGGCTCTTTAGGGTTTAGGGTTTAGGGTTTAGGGTTTAGGGTTTAGGGTTTAGGGCTTAGGTTGGGGGCTTAGGGTTTAGGGCTTAGGTTGGGGGCTTAGGGTTTAGGGCTTAGGGTTCAGGGCTTTGGGTTTGGGGTTAGGGTTTAGGGCTATTGAGAGGAGTATACTATATGGGCCTTAATAATTACCTATACTATTTTGGGGGTTCCTTCTGATAATTACAGTATCATGTACCCCAGAACCCTATTCTAATTGTTTAAAGCCCCTACATTGCCTTAAGTTACACTGGGATCAATATGGGGGTTTCCGAAAACAAGGGACCCTAAAATAGTACCTTAAATAGTAGGATCCTTTTTGTAAGGACCCCCAAAAAAGGGCACCCCTTACTTTCGGAAACTCCCATATTCTGATTGAAGGTATGCTTGGTTAAGGCTTCTTGGAGTCTCCGGGTATCGAAGGGATATAGAAGCCTAAATAATTTCCGTTATAGACCCGTAGGGTTCCTATCTCATTTCCACTTGTTAAGGCCCCTCCGGTACGGTTTAGGACTGTTCGGGGTTCAGGGTTTAGGGTGTAGGATGTTTGGAGTTTGGGGTTCAAAAGACTAAACCCTAAACCCTAAACCCTAAACCCTAAACCCTAAACCCTAAACCCTAAACCCTAAACCCTAAACATCAAAACCTTCAGGATGTTTGGGGTTTCGGCCCGCGTTTTCGAATTTGACCTTACCAAACGGTATAGGGCCGGAAAGTTTAGGGTTTAGGGTTTCAGGGCTCAGAGTTCAAGCTTGGATATTGAGAAATGGGAGCAATATAGGGGCCTAAAGGACTAGCAATAGTATTTTGGGGGTTCCTTCTTATGATTATAGTATGGTGGGCCCAAAAGCCTATTCTACTTATCCTAAACCCTAAACCCTAAACCCTAAACACTAAACCCTAAACCCTAAACCAGTGCAAGCTGGCGACTGGAGCCAGATCGGAATCACATGCAGGATCCCGAGATTCCAGTTAAGGGTCCTTTAATATGAGGAGTAGTGTAGGGGCCTCTACTTACCTACACTATTTTGGGGGCTCCTTATAATTATAGTATAATGGGCCCCAAAACCTTATTCTAGTTATTAAGGCCCCCCTGTCTAGGAGCCCCAGACACGGTACCCCGAGCTTTCGGAAACTCCGATGAGGCAGTTTGAGAGAGAGTTTCCTGCTGCTGTACTGTAGAAGTGGGCCCAAAGTTCCCATATACTTGTAGTACGATACGTACCAAAACGCTATTCTATTTATTTAAGGATCCTACTTGGAGGCGCAGGGAACTTAATAAGTAGGTTATAAGTAGAGATATAAGTACCCGAACTGGAGTTACGCCAATGATAACCCTACTTATAACCGACTTAACCCTAAACCCTAAACCCTAAATCCTAAACCTTAAACCCTAAACCCTAAACCCCTAAACCCTAAACCCTAAACCCTAAACCGCCAAGTCTGCTATGGTCTTATTCAGATCCAGTGGGGGTCCGGCCTGTGACTTCCAGCTTAGGTGTTGCGAGTTTGAGGCTTTCGGTTTTCGAAGTCACTTTCCAAGACTTAGGGTTTAGGGTTTAGGGTTTAGGGTTTAGGGTTTAGGGTTTAGGGTTTAGGGTTTCGTGGTTCCCGTCTCGAAGCAGCATTTTTTGTCTTTAGATGCGCAAAGTTTGAACCTTGAGCCCTCAAGTCTAATGCAAGTTTGGGCCACTTCATGTCCGGCTGGGGAAATGTGGAGCTAGCACACGAACTGCTAGAGACGGCGGCACAAACCCCCACTCACTTGTGCCGGCTGTCGCTGCCCACGCGATATCCCAAGAATGGGCGCTGTTGTGAACAATTCAACTCCTGAAGATGATCAGTAGCACCTTATGCATTGCATATACAGTGCTAACAAGGTACAGCACAGCGCTGAAGGTAATGCAGGTCTTGTTTTGGCATGGAAACATGAGCCGCAGAAGCGTATCTTCGATATCCAGCAGCGCTGACGTTTAGTAATGCTGACGGATTTGGATTTGGGGGTTCGGCACTTCGACGTGCCCGTGCCAGGATTCGTCAGATCGTCCTCCTTGATTCGTGTTAAAAGCGTGAACCAGGTCGCCTTGCATTCAAAATCTTGGAGCTCAAGGCCGGAGACACAAGTTGCCTGGTTTTTTGAAAGCTCTTCATTTTTTGAGGTCTAGGATCGCCAACCGTGGGGTCGAGTAAGTTCGAAGTCTGCATTCCCTAGTTTTTGAGCCGTTTGCGAGGATCGACAGCTGTGTGTCAATCTTGTTTTTTGCACGTGCGCTGAAGGGCGGACAACATGCACACCAGCACCACAGTATGACGGAGAAACATTGGCTCAAGGCATCTACCATCGTGCTTTTTTCTTGTCTGACAAGAACGGAAGTTTCAGACACACACGCAGAAGAGACAGTTACACAGTGTCGCCGTTGTGCATGCGAAACCCGAAACCGTAGAGTGGCGAGGAAAGAATCAGCATAGTCCGACATTGCACAGCGTTTTCAGCATGGCCCGGGATACGTTCTTCGGGCCCATAAGGAAGCCTTGAATAGGATGGGTTTATGGTGTTGAGGTTTGGCTTTGTTTGCTTATGGGCCAAATCCACCACGCAGGAACACGCAAGTCTGCATTTTGCAGCCCAGCAGCCGTAAACCCCTACACTACAAAACCCCGAAGTCGCCAAACCTTATGCCGAAAACACCAACACACCAAAATGCGCAACTTGGGCCCTGAAGCCATATCTTTCCTAACGCCTTGGCCCCTAACCTTAACACCCTAAGCCCGGAAATCCTAAAGTTTCAGAACCCAAAGCCGTAAACAGGCCAACACCTGCCATGGTCACGGCGGCCAAGGCCTGGGTTGTCCGGATTCCGACTCAGAACAGGGGCGGACAAATTGGTAACACCATCGTCGTATAACCACTAAGTAATTTCGGTATAATACAAAGATAGCACTGCATGTAAGAGTTTTTACATTGAAGATATTACGTGTGTGTATATGTAGGTGTATATATATATACACACATACATATACACACCGTTGGATGTCGATCTGTGTATGTAGGAATGTACCGTACTGTACAATACGGTAAACAATGTGTTGTAATGCAATGTCATGCAATGTCCTGTACTGTCGTATTATTTTATGCGGTGGTTGTAATGCAATGTGTGTAATGCAAAGTAGTGTAATGTAGTGCGATGCAGTGTAATGCCGTGTAATGTGGTTTTATGTGGTGAGAAGCAGTGTGATACAGCGTGGGCAATGTACTGCAATGTAGCGTAATGCAATGTAGTGTCATGTAATGGATTGTAATGTAGTGTAATGGAATGTAGTGTGGTGTGATGTAGTGTAATGTATCGTCGCATGTGCAATGCAGTCCGCAGTGCAATATAGCGTAGTGTTAAAGGATGTGAGGTAAGGTAATGTAAAGCAAAATAATGCAGTTTAGCCTCTCGTAATGCAGCGTAATGTAACACCGTAGATATATATATATATAATGCAATGTAATGCAATGTCATGCATTGTAATGCAATGTAGTGCAGTGTAACGCAATGTATGATGCAATGTGCAATGCAATGTACGTAATGCAATGTACGTAGTACAATGTACGTAGTGCAATGTAATGCACTGTAATGCAATGCAATGCCATGTATTGCAAGGTAACGCAAGGTAATGCAAGGTAATGCAATGTAATGCAATGTAATGCAATGTAATGCAATGTAATGCAATGTAATGCAATGTAACGGAATGTAATGCAATGTAATGCAATGTAATGCAATGTAATGCAATGTACTGCAATGTGATGCAATGTAATGCAATGTCATGCAATGTAATGCAATGTAATCAATGCAATGCAAAGTAATGCAGTATAATGCAATGTAATGCAATGTGATGCAATGTAATGCAATGTCATGCAAAGCAATGCAATGTAAGTATAGTGTTTATAGTAAGGTTTAATGTGTAACGTATGGTAACTAGGCTGCACGCATGTAGTGAAAGTGCAATGCAACTTACGAATTTCGTATGATGTGACGTGCTGTACCGTGATGTAACCAAAACCGCCATGGCAGGAAGCCCTAAACCCTAAACTCAGAGCCCCAAACCTTATCACCCAAACCCGGACGCCAAAACCCTAAACCCTAAACCATAGAAGACCCTAAACCCTAAACTCAGAGCCCCAAACCTTATCACCCAAACCCGGACCCCCCAACCCCTAAACCCTAAACCCTATAAACCCTAGAATACACTAAACCCTAAACCCTAAACCCTATAAACCATGGAAGACCCTAAACCCTCAACCCTAAACCCTAGAAGACCCTAAACCCTAAACCCTAAACCCTAAACTCTAAACCCTAAACCCTAAACCCTAAACTCTAAACTCTAAACCCTAAACCCTAAACTCTAAACTCTAAACCCCTAAAGACCGCAGACTGTCAGCTCCCACAGGCCCAGGGACGCGCCAGCTCCAAGGACGATTTTCCAATTCACAGAGCTCTGGGTTTTAGGGTTTTAGGGTTTGGTGTTTAGGGTTTAGGGTTTGGGGTTTAGGGTTCAGGGTTTAGGGTTTTTGGTTTAGGGTTTGGGGTTTAGGATTTTGGGCTTAGGGTTTTGGGTTGAGGGTTTTGGGTTTAGGGGTTTGGGTTTAGGGTTTTGGGTTTAGGATTCAGGTGACATCCTTTCTTGGGGGTTTCCAAAAATATCGTACCCGAATATAGTACCCCATATAATAGGTTCCTTATTATAAGGACCCCACAATATTGTACACTAATTTTCGGAAAGTCCCATATTGAAAATTGAGGAGAAAGGTTTCACAGGGCTTCGCGATTTTATGAATGAGGCCTCTACAAGGGTTCGCAAGGTTTTCGTTGACGTTTCTACAGCGTCCTGCATAGCTAGAGATGCTCTTCCTTAGAGTTCCCGAGTACCAGTAACACAATATTCAACAGTCTTAGAACTGAGCAGCAGAAAAGGAAACCCTAAACCCTAAACCCTAAACCCTAAAACCTAGTCGCGCTAGTTGCTTGTCGCATAAGGGTTGAGGGTCTCGCAGGCCTAGGGCGTACTCTCGCCTCAAGACCTAGAGCGGGTTTTGAAGACAGGGGTCCGCCACTGAATCCGTGAACCCCGACGTGAACATGCAAATTTTGCTGAAATCCTAAACCCTAAACCCTAAACCCTAAACCGCAAGCCGCAAAACCTATGAACTCCTTGCAACACCTCCCTAGGATGCCCGGCCGGCGCAGCCAAGTGACGCCAGTTGGAAGCCCGGGGGTGTGGGCCGGGTCGGTGGGTTCTGCAATCTTATGGGGGTTTCCGAAAATAGGGGACCCTAATATAGTACCCCAAATAATCGGATCCTTATTATAAGGACCCCCAAATAGGGTGATACTTCGATATGGGCAGTTCTCTAAATTAGGGTCCCTTTTTGGGTCCTTATTGTAATACGGCACCTATTATTTAGGGTACCCCAAAAGGGACCATAATTTTGACAACCACCTATATAAAATAGAACCCCAAAGAATTGGATCCTTTGTATCAGGACTACTTGCAGGTTCGTGACCAGTTTTCTAAGTGGATTATACGTCCCCTAAGTAGGGTTATAAGTATAGTTATCTTACTTATAACCTTACTTATATTTACCCATGAACCTCCAAGTAAGATACCCCAACTGCATTCGAGGCACTTGAGGTGGAACGCCCGAATCCTGATGCCCCACGGCCGAAAGCTGCAAGAGATCCGGGTTTAGGGTTTAGGGAACCCTACCTGAGCCTACACCCCGAAGCAAAAGTTTCAGTCGATCGCCAGCTACGTCCTGCCCCTTTCTTCAGGTCGTTCCGAGTACGTTGAGGCCTGCATGTGTGTCGATTTGGGTTCGGTGTTGAGGTTGATGTTAAATTTATCATTGCAGCCAGCATTGCAATGTTTGGTCTTATGTTGTCCATACTTGTATTATCCTTAGTCTTTTGGTTGTGATTTCGCCATAAACAATAACAACAAGCACTTCTTTTTATACCTAGTATGTCTACACCCACGGCTCATTGGGTGAGGTATTGTCGCCTCGGCTAGACTTGCCTTGAAGGCCAGTTACTTCTGACGGTACCTTAAAACTGGAAACCCCCAAAACCCCCCAAAACCCCAAAACCCCAAACTCAAAAGCCCAAAGCCCCAACACCCGGCGACCCCTAACACAGATTCAGCGTCCCCAGGCCCTACACCCTAAACCCTGACCCCCGAAGCCCTCAAGCCCTAAACCCTAAACCCTCAAGCCCTAGACCCTAAACCTTAAACCCCTAAACCGTAAACCCTAGACCCGAAACCCTAAACCCTCAACCCTACACCCCCTAAACACCTAACGCCGGGAACACAGGAGCCCTAAACCCTAAACGCCTAGATAGGAGAGCCCCTGCAGGATCCAGCCCTAAACACTACACCCTTCCAGCCTCGGCATCGAACCCTGCACCCTAAACCATGAAACCGCGAAGAACCCTTATAGATGCTTTAAAGAAGCCCATGCTTGGAGGTTCATGGGTAGCTATGAGTAGGGTTGCAAGTCCCCTAACATTGGGATATATCTATAGCTACCCTACTTATAGCCCCATTTATAGCTACCCATGAACCACCAAGTAAAGGACCCCTTCGTAAACAAACTTGCGAATAGCAGCCTTGACATGTATCATCTGCCAGGGTGATCCAGCCAACTCCACACGGAGTCACTTTCTTTCCGCCGCATGTCTGCTTTTCCTTGTTTCTTTCTTTTTTCAGGCCCGAAACCCGAAACCCTAAACCCCTAAACCCTAAACCCTTAAACCCCAAAACCATACATCCAAAACCCCTAAACCCCTAAACCCCTAAACCCCTAAACCCCTAAACCCCTAAACCCTAAAGCCATAAACCCAAAGCCCCTAAGCCCTAGACCCTCTTCTTGGGGGTTTCGGGTCAGCATCTGGGAGATTGGCCCCCTGTTTGGTGGGACGAGGACCCTTGTTTGCATCCGCATCTTCCCGGCTCCGTCTGCTTGGTTTCTGGTAAGCGAGGTTTAGGGTTTAGGGTTTAGGGCTGCTTGGCTTCTGGTAAGCGAGGGGTATCAAGAAAAGGTACAAGCACATGAAGGAACCCTGAGGAATCATGTTGGTAACTGTTCCGACCCCTAGGCTAGCGGGATCCAGCAGTGGTAGTGCGAAGTCTTTTTTGGGAAGGCCCTAAGTGCCGAAGCCTACTCGCAACCTGCCCCTACTGCCGAGGAAGTGTCGCAAGCAGAGAGTGAGGCGGGAGGGCCGGGGGGGAGGGACTTGCAGGCTGCAGCATGCTTCGGCTTCATTACCTTTCTTGGAGGTTCATGGGTAGTTATAAGTGGGGCTATAAGTCCCTAATATGGGCTATAAGTACAGTTACCCTACTTATAACGCCACGTATAACTACCGATGAACCTCCAAGCCCCCCCGCCCCTCAACGGCACAGAGCTCGTAGACAACGAAGGAGTGAGTGACCCTAGTCAAATCCTTCAAGAAACCTTCATAGCACCCCGAATTCCCTTTGCCCTCTAAGCCCCACAGACCCCAAAACCGTTATTCCAGCAGAAAATGCTTTGCACAGCAGCGCTGCAGCACGGCCTGCCGAAGGTGCACCCGCGCGGAGGAAGCGCGGACAGCGTGGAAACTGTCGCAGCGCCTCCGCAGAAGGTGAAGGAGGAAGAGAGAGCCCCCCCGGGCGGCGGTGAAGACGGGCCGGGTTCAGTAGCGCCCCCCGGCCTGGGCTCTGGCAAGACAGAAACCTGTGAGCCGAAGGGCAAGGCCAAAGCAGAAGCTCTCACACCATGGGAGTTTAGGGTTTAGGGTTTAGGGTATCAGGGTTTAGGGTTTAGGGTATTAGGGTTTAGGGTATCAGGGTTTAGGGTATCAGGGTTTAGGGTTTAGGGTATCAGGCTTTAGGGTTTAGGGTATCAGGGCATAGAGGGACCCAAGTTCGAGTCCTGGCTCCGGTGGCAGCTTCCAAAGGCTGGCGCCCAAATTCCCGAGGCCCCCCAAGCCCCCTGAGCCCGAATTCCCTAAACCCCCTTTCCCCTTCATCTCAAACCCCACTTGGAGGCCCAGGGGACTTAGTAAGTCGGCTATAAGTAGGGTTATAATTGGGGTAACTCCAGTTAGGGTACTTATAACTCTACTTAGAACCTACTTACTAAGTCCCCTGGGCCTCCAAGGCCTTATAAGGCACCTTAGTTCCCTAAGCCGTAGTTCCCTACAACGCTCTGTGTAGTAAGCCGCAGGGAAGCCCGTTTTCAACGATTGTTTCAACACCAAAAAACCATGTGTTACTTATGAGCACCCACATCCTAAACCCTAAACCCTAAACTCTAAACCCTGCAGCCAGTGAAAGCTTGAATCCGGCAGAACCTGGCTCCTCTGAGCTTCGGCGAGCAGCTGGCGCTTGCCTCGGGCGAGTGCTTTCTAGTGCCCAAATCCGCGAGAGAGAAGAGAAAGTTTAGTCTTTAGGTTGTTGGGTTTAGTCTTTAGGTTGTTTAGGGGTTTGGGGTTTAGGGTTTAGGGTTTAGTCTTTAGGGTTTTGGGTTTAGGGTACTGTAGGGGCCTTAAGAAGTAGAATAGGGCTTGTGAGTATTGGTTACGGGAATTACAATAAGGAGCCCTAACAAGAGCCAGTTTAGCCTTTAGGGTTTTGGGTTTAGGGTACTGTAGGGGCCTTCAGAAGTAGAATCGGGTTTGTGGGCATCTGTTACGGGAATTACAATGAGGAGCCCTGGGAATAACAGAGATACATCTGTAGCAGGACATGGGCCCTGAATGGAAAGGCGACCTCGACCCAACTCCTAAAGCCAAACATTGCAAGCCCAGGCTTTAGGCTTTAGAGTTTAGGGTTTAGGCTTTAGGCTTTAGGCTTTAGAGTTTAGGGGTTCAGGGGTCTAGCCATTGGGTTTCGGAACTGATCTAAGGACTTTAGGAGGGACCCCTAATAGGGACCCTTAATCCCATTACCTTAAATAACCATTGTATAGTCCTTATATACCCCTTATATAGCCAGGTAGTCTCCGTATTAACTCCAATAACCTACAAGGGTCCCTATTAAGGGTCCCTCCTAAAGCCCTTAGAACTGAGGTTCTGGAGACCTATCTCCGGTACCGGGGCAGGAGGTACGACCGCCAGCGCCAGGACGGAGAACCCGAAAAGCTTCCCCAAAGTCTGAAAGTCGAACCTTGGGGTCTGATTCATGGTGCTAAGAAGTTTAGGGTTTAGGGTTTAGGGTTCAGGGTTGGGGTTTAGGGTTTAATACGGTTGATGATGTAAATCCTGCATTACCCATAATACGGAGCATACCATGGTTCCCACAGTTTAGGGTCCTTAAGATAAGGGAGGATTATATCATCAACAGTATCCCCCTTCTGTTGAAGTTCTGCTATCATTGCGCAGCCCCAAACCCTAGTCTAGTTGTCAAGGCTTGCATATGATACTCTTGTTCCGCCAAAAATCCAAAAGCCTGAAGCCTAGGGTTTGGGATTGTCTAGGCTTGGGTAGGTGGCGCTGAGGGTCTGAATCCATGGTGTTGGGGTTCGGGGTTGCGGCGGTAAGTTTCGGACTTTAGGTTTGTGGGGTTTAGGCTCCTTATGCCCGAATTACCTGCCCTGAAAGTCACGGCATCCGCGAGGATGCCTTGTCCCAGCCGCGGAAGATCAAGCCGCCCCCGCCGGAGGAGCGGCCAGGCGGAAACCCGGAGAGAAAGAAACTCCGATCAGAGATCCTTCAGGGGTTCCGACTCCTACGGTCATAGGGACCTTTAGAGGAGTTCGGGGGGAGGGGGGTAGGGGGCCTAAAAAAAACGGACCGAATAAGGCCAGTTTCGAAAAGAGCTCCGAAAAGTGTTCATATCCCAAGCGGGCCTTGAAGCACGTGGCAGGGTTTAGGGTTTAGGGTTTAGGGCTTAGGGTTTAGGGTTTAGGGTTTAGGGTTTAGGGTTTAGGGGTGCTACCTAAGAGACCTTAAATCCTGGTTTGACCAGGCTCACAGACGCCAGCACCCTCAGCCCTACTTTGAGGTTCATGTGTAGTTTAAAGTGGGGTTTATCAGTCCCCCAACATGGGTTCTAATCATAGTTACCCTACTTATGATCCTACTTATAACTACCCATGAACCTCCAAGTATGAGACCACAATCACAAGGCCACGATTGCCAGAAGCCCACCACCGCCACGTTCAATCCCTTCGGGGGTCGGTTTAGGGTTTAGGGTTTAGGGTTCGGGGGTCTTTGGGAGGCCGCCCGCAGAAGCCCTTGGACAAAGAGCAGGCAACTGGCGCGGCGGGGGCTTCTTCTGTTGCGTGTTGGGTCCCGTCTTTTTTGTTCGACTGGTTGGGGTTTCTGGGTCTGTAACCCTGAACCCTAAATCCTAAACCCCAAAACCCCAAACCTTAAACCCTAAACCCTAAACCCTAAATCCTAAACCCTAAACCCTAAACCCTAAACCCAAAAGTCGAAGTCTGATGCAGGGTGTCTCAAACCCCCACGACGGGCGAAGCCAAGCTCCGAATCACCTTTTGCCAGTCGTTTCGTGGGCATTAAAGGGCTTCGGTTTAGGGTTTAGGGCTTAGGGTTTAGGGTTTAGGGTTTAGGGTTGAGGGTACGGTTCATGATCTAGATCCTGCATTACCTTAAGGACCCTAAAGTCTGGGAGTTATGGTATATTCCTTATTATGGGTCATGATTACCCATAATAAGGGAAGAAACCAGGATTCCCATGGTTTAGGGTCCTCAAAGTAATGCAGGATTTATATCATCAACCGTATCACGAAAGTAACCAGGAGTTATCACCTAGATTGATTCAATAAAAAACGAAACTCAAAACCCTGGCTGCCCTGGTTTTGTGAGCCGTTCGGGGGGGTTCTCTTCAGGGGTCGCAGGGGTGCGGCAGGCCGCTTCGTTTGGAAGCTGATTTCGAGTTCTGAGGGGTGAGCACTTTCTTTCCAGTTTGGAGACTTTTCGGGGCTTTTAAGCATATGGGGTTCAGGGCTCCGACCCATAGCAAGACTGGACAGGCAAGAATTTAGGGGCCTTAATAATTAGAACAGGGTTTTGGGGGTTCCTTAATATAAGTATAGACCCTATTTTAATTATTAAGGCCCCTGTATTATACAACAGGATGGCCTCCGAGTCTAACAAAATTGTGCAGCGTGCCCCAACGTTAAACCCTAAACCCTAACTTAGACCTAGGAACTGATCAAAACACCTTGGTTCTGAATACCCGAAACAGGCAGTGGACTGCCAGGAACCCTCAGAAGAAAACAGGTTATACTCCTAGACAATCGAAAGATCGTCCCGTGTACTCCTGGAGACCATCGCGCAACAAGCATAGATTCCCCTGAATCCCGGCCCTAAACACAATGCAGGGGTCTGAGTGATTTTGAGTGGTTTCCCTTCTACTCCTCATAAAAATGTCCTACAATATGCCCGGATTCTATGTATTCAGCCTTCATCTTCTACCCCTAAACCCTATACTCCAGTTTTCACCCGTTCCTTAAACCCTAAGAATTAAACCTGAAACCGCAGGCCCTAAGCCTCAGAAGCCCGCCCCTGTGCTCGTGCTGCTCAGTTGGGGGACCTCATCGATCGCCTCGCGAAGCCCAAGAGGGGGAAAGTCGTCGAGTCCGGTGAGCACTTGGTGCCTGCCTCAGTGCTTTTTGTGGGCCAGAGGCCACATGGATTCAACAGAAGAGCCTCATAATCACCAGTGCAAAATCCTAATCCCCATCCCTTGATGGTTCTCACAGATCCTGTCGATAGTGGCAGTAGCACTTAGCATTAAAGGATTGAGTCCCAAACGCTGAAGAGCATGAGCAGAAGGTTTGGGTAGAGGTTTGTGCAGATCCACGGATCCGACATGCCTTAACACTCTAATGAAGGCGCCCATATCATGTCGAAGCTTACCAAAACCCCGACTGCAGACCGAACTTTTGTGATCTAGAGCCTTGTAGCCCCCTCCAAAGCCCCAAACCCCTGAACCCCTCGCCCTAAATCCCTCAGCCCCCTTTAAAGGTGCCAATAGGATTCCAGTACACTTGGCTTAGGAAGGGCATAGGAATTGCCATTAAAAGTCACCAGTAAATCCAGGTCTTTCTGCATTATAAACTACTCCCAGATCCTAATGTCTGAAAGATATAATGTCATTCCAGGAGCGATGAACCATTAAGCCTGACCTGAGATTCTTCCTATTCCTACCATTATAGTCCCTCCTATAACCTAGTGCTGCGTCCTCCGAAGTGAAGCGAAAGCGTGCTTTCTTTCTTGTCATTTAATCTCAGCACTGTTTTTCTGTTCTGTGCTGTTGTTTCAATCCATTAAAAGCGTGCTCTTCGCTTTGTTACGCTCGCCTTTTAGTTAACTGCATCCAGCACAAAGAAGAAAAACACTA